ATGGTTTTTGCCCACTCCAAGCTTCAATTGGTGTCCTATCTTGCACAGCTTTAGTAGGACATCTATTGAGCAGATAGACAGCAGTGCTTACTGCCTCTGCCGAGAAAATTTTGGGAAGACCTTTTTCCATGAGCATGGCTCTTGCAGTTTCCATAACAATCCTGTTTTTTCTTTCGGATACTCCATTCTGTTCTGGAGTGTACCCGACTGTAAGTTGATCCTCCATGCCTTCATCTTCACAGAACTTGTTGAATTCATTAGAGGTATATTCTTTGCCTCTGTCACTTCTTATGGTATTGATGTTGTGACCACTTTGCTTCTGAACACGGGCTTTGAATTTTTTAAAAATATCGAAAACTTGCAATTTTTCTCGCAAGAAATAAACCCATGTCATTCTAGTATAGTCATTTAAATACATGGATTCTACATTTTTACAGTGAGCCTATGAATTTATTACTGATATGGAACTTCATCATTTAGCTAATCCAAATTCATAATGTAGGGGGGCCAGGCCGGGTTATAGCGGGCTGTGCTTGACTAACACAAATTCCCCAAAAGGGGAGCCCAGCACGGCCATGGCTATGGGCCAAGTTGCGAGTTATCACCTTTTTTTTCAAATTTTTATGAAAATTTGTAAAAAAAATGAAAAATAAAAATTACGAATTTACATAAAATTTAAGCAAGACAAGAACAAATTGAAAAAAAATTAAAATTTTATTCCATATGAATAATCATTCATACAAAAATTAATTAAATGAAATTGAAAAAAAAAAGTTACAATGAAATTGGAAAAAAATACCATAACAAAATTGAAGAAAAAACAATGGAGTTGGAAAAAAAACACATAACTTATAAGTTACAGATAAAATTAAAAATCTTAAAATTTACAACAATTTCAAATTTTACCATAATCTCAAATAACTTACAAGTTGCATTGGATGATGTGTCATGTCCTCATTTATCTTGCAACATATCTTCATGATCTGCATCCAACCAATCTTTTAATTTAATGCATATCTTCAGCGTTGTGTTTCATCTTTCATCTAACTTTCTTCTCTTCTAGCACATTGTTTCCTATACTAAAAATAAGATTTTGATGTTATTATGGATATCAGAGGGGTTAGTAGATCATGTGACATGGTGGCAAGTGCAGAACAATTATTTTTTTCTTGCTTTTCACCAAGCTAAAATATCAAAATTATCTATTTCCTCATATGAGAGGAAACTTAAAAAATTATTTTACATAAAAAATAGAGGAAAAAGATAATGAAACAAATGCATCTATTTATTAAGGGTAAATTACTAAAACCTCCCTTGAATTTTAATAGTTGCAATAATCTCCCCTTAATTTTCTGATATAGTTTCGATTAAACCCCTTCTATTAAAATCCTCTAACAAAAGGCATGAAAATGTTCAAATACCCATGCAATTATAATTGAGGTTGGTATCCACAGAAAGTAAACAACAAAAATATAGAGATTATTTTTTTATACAATAAAAAATAGATATTTTAAGCTTGTAATTTTACGTTAACGAGTGATCTGAAGGAAAAATTTAGAAAATAAATCAAGTTCGGAAAAATGATTGGAAGGGTTCGGGGTGGTGATGAAGGAAAGTTTTGAAAAATAAATATTAATTTTAGTCAAAAGTAACTATACGAGTATTTTGGACATTTTGATGTCTCATGTTAGAGGGTTCTAGGAAAAGGTGTCTACTAGCAATGTTTATAAGAAACAAATTAAGAGGGATTTTATTTACAATTGTACCAAAAAGTTCAGGGGAGCTGATTGAAATTATACCAAACTTTAGGGAAGGTTTCAGCCATCATGTTTTAAGACTTCACATGGGAGGTTTTAACAACACTTCACCCATTTAATTAAACGGTGTGACTCTGCATCAGATTAGTGCCACATACTTAAAGCGTTAAGTAGTAATAGTAGGTAGTAGTACCACATTAGGTAGAGCTAAATATCATATTTAATAAAGGGTGAATGCATACTAGTACGTACTATTACTAGTTACTAACTTACTACTAGCTTTAAGTATGTGGCACAGTCACACTGTTTATGGCCTTATGGTAGACATTCGAGCAGGGGTACGTACGGCGGCTTCACCGGAAACCGTTCATTGACGCTGGTCTTATAGGATGAATGTATGGGAAGGAGCAGGGAGTAGGGGCCAAACGGAAGAAAAGACCGTGATCAATTAATTACATTGTTAAACAGTAATTATTTACTCAATATTAGTTGTTTAATTTATATGTAAAGCACCTAATTTAATTAAAATTATAATTACCAGTGAGTTCCAATTGCATGTAGTTAGTTCCCAATCCTTTCCTGGGAATGAAGCTCCGAGACGAGGGTAAACCCATAAACCCCCCAACCCAACTGCAGGCCTCCTTCCACCTTCCTTTCCCGGGTCTCTCTTGACCGAATAACGCGTTTTCCGTTCCATGCATGAAATGAATGTATCCACTTCGCTGTGATCGTTGCCATAGACCCAATAAATATACAGATCATTCAAAACTATGTGAAAAGT